GAAAAGTCATTGGGCGGAGGAGTTATGACCTTCGTTAGCCTGTAAAAATCCATAAATTAGCCACATCATTGTTGAAGCAGCAGGGTTCAAAGCCTGTGGAAAAAAAGTAGCGGCTTATAGTCTGGAAATTACGGCATTACTTTTTATAAACATATATATATTTTTATATATATATATATATGTATGTATATATATATATACATATATGTGTGTATATATACATGTGTATAAATATATGTTTATGTGTATAAATGTATATATATTTATATATGTGTATATATACAGTATATATATAATTTTTTGTCTAACACATGACACTATTTGTGTGTTGACAGGTCAATGGCAACTTCGTGGCTTCCCCAATCTCCCTGAGCGACGGTGCTGTCCAAGTTATCAGTCAGGGTTTTTCCATGGTATTCCAAGTATTTTTTTGTTAGAATTAATGTGCCCTTGGTGTACCAAAACGCAACATGCGGCCTTTGTGGAAACTTCAACGGCGACCCGAGAGACGACTTTAAAACACCAGCTGGTGACATCGTGACCTCTGCCAACAGCTGGCTAGCAGAAGGGAACGATGAGTCTGATTGCGAGGTGCCGTGTGAAGGTCATAACTGCGTGGCCTGTAATGACCAGCAGACTGCCTTGTACAGTAATGGCGACCACTGCGGCATCCTCCTGAACACATCTGGGCCCTTTGCTCCTTGCCATCAACACCTGCCCCCGAAAATGTTTATGGAGAGTTGCGTGTACGACCTGTGCGTGGGTGATGGGTACCAGCCCATGTTGTGTCTCTGTATATATACAGTATATGTACTGTATGTGTTATATTAATATTATTGTATTTATAATTTCATTTTAAATATTCCCTAGTATTTAAATACAAATTTACCATATTGCAGTTAAGCTTAGCTAAATTAGCTAATACCGTAAAACACATATGCAAGGTACAGTAAATAGGCAGGGCTAGTCAATACTAATTATTACTAATTCTAATAAACAATGTGTGTTTAAAGAGAATAACATTTGTTAAAGCTTGTTAAAGCCTCGAAAACAACTTAAGTTTGCTGTTTTCTAGAATGTTCTGTATAACGGCAGCCTTTAAATTAATATAGTTTTTAAATCAATTAGACAATAATAAAGGGCTAATAACTTTATTCTCAACTTTCAGCTACAGTACTAATATGTCTCGCAGGTCATTTGGCTCTAAGATTACAGACACTTATCTTCAATTATCACCTCCAGTAATGTAGTGGTCTTCTCCCACAGGTGGTCCTCTATGCGAGGGGGACATTGAAGAGGCTAATGGAGTCCTGAAGGTGTTCTGTCCATGGCATGACTATGAATTTGAACTAAGGACAGGGAAGTCAGGGACCTCTTTACAGGTCAGTATTGAATAATGTATTTTAAAAATAGTTCATACAAAGTCGTATGGAGTGAAAACAACAACAGTTTATTTTCAATATGGTCGTTTGTGTTTATTGCACTTTGTCTTATGGATTTTTAATTTTATAAGAATTATAAGGTTATTTGGTATTTATATCAAGGCAATTTTCAAATGTGTTCGTGTTCAATCAGTCATAAGGTTCTGTGTCCAAGTTAGTTAGTTAGTAAATGAGTTTGAAGAGGTCCATTACTACCATTAACTTTGATCCTGGAGAAAGATCTGTTTGTAAGAATGACATGCGTCATTCTCTACCCATAAAAGGCTCACAGACAAATTCATCTTCTCTCTACAGTGTTCTTTCTAAAACAAACCAAATGTTACCTGCCAGACAAGTGAATTCATACCTTTGAAAATCAAATCTGATAAAAGTTCTACTCTGACACATGAAAGCTCCCAGATTCTACAGTAGCTCTCTGTAAAATCTCCTGCTGTTTTCTCTTTGTTTTGATGGTTTTAGCAACAGGTCCACGAAGTCAAGCTGGAGGATGGCAATGTGTACGTGAAACACACCAGACGTCTCTCCTTACTGCCTTTTTCTGGAGATCAGAAGACGGACAACCTCAAACCAGCTGCTTCGTCCATCAGCCGCAAGTAAGAGACGTTCCACAAACACTAGCCATTAAAAACATTCGTAATCCTTATGTGTTGAAGGGGATTGCAGTAAACTCAGGGGGCAACTCAGGGGGCATTGTGTGCAGTGTGTACAGTGTGTACAACAACAAGTACAGTGTGTACTTGTTGTTGGAAAAGTCGAATGTTGTTTGTATAATTTAGTAACCATGTTTTGGAGAAAAAAAATATGTACCGTATTTTCCGCACTATAAGGCGCACCTAAAATCTGAAATTTTTTTCAAAAGCTGACTATGCGCCTTATAATCCGGTACGCCTTATATATGGATCAATATTGAGCCGCGACAGGTCTCGCAACTTACGGTAAGCAGCCACCGACTCCATTTTTCCCCGTAGAAG